CGGGGCGCAAGTCAGATTCCAGCTCAGCACAGGGCTCTCCTTTCCCTTAAAGCACTTCTGATACCAGTTAGCAACTGTGTCCTCATTGTTTCGCCTGTCACCCAGGTGCACAGATAGAACAACCCTGCTTGTACTTTCATTTGCTGTGGGATCTCAAGCAAGGCACCTAACCTCTCTGAGCCTAGATTCCCTCAGGAATAAGATGGGGATAACATCTCTTGCCCACCCTGTGAGGTATTTACAGAGATCAAGTTCGAGCAGAATTTTGTTGACTGTAGATGGAACTTATTGACTCTATTCGAGAATGACCTAGAAGGTCCATGACATATAATAATTGGCCATGTTGCTGAGGTCTGGGTTCTAACAGTGCAGACTGGGAGCCTGGTGTGAAGCACATGGTCACCCTGCTAGTGAAAGTGACAAACCAACCACCCAGCATCCTCACCATAGTGTGCCTTCATTTAACAATAGCTCTCACACAAAGTTGAAATCCGTTCTTTATGGAAATAGCCTCCTAATAAAGCCAAGTATTGATGATTATCTGGAATGGGGTCACTTCAAACATTCAGATACACTGTACTGCATTTTGTGATCAAAATTGCATGCCTTGTCCTAGCTGTGTGACTTCAGTGAGTGCCTTAACCTCTCTACACCTCAGTTTCATCATCTGTAAAATGGGGATGATAAAATTTCTCAAGATAGGCAGGTATACATGAGAATTAAATAGATAAAACTCAGACCATTGCCAGGCACACATTAAGTACTATGTAAGTTTACGCTTACATAAAGGGGGGGGGGAGAGGCAGAAAATGTTGGTTTTTGCAGAAGTCTCCAGACTTCTCTCTGTGAAGTATATTGAGAGAACTCCCAATTATTAAGGGACATTTTGTAAAGATAGTCAGCCCCTCCCATCGTCAATGGGACCATTTTGTTAAATGTGAAACATGTTACTACTGGCTGTTACAAGGACCAGTCATTCAGGCCAGGTATCCCCCAGACACCCAACCTCTCCCAGGATACAGCTCGGTGACAATGACCAGTCCCCGACGCCTCTCGAAGGCCTCATGGAAGTAGAGGACACAGTCATGCTGGAGCCGGGCCAGCAGCCGGGCCTCCCGCCACGCTGATGCCTTTGGCTTGGCCTGGCTGGGGATGAACTTGGCTGCAAACTCCAGGCCTGAGTTACGTTCCACCACGCGCCGCAGGTAGGAGAAGGCACCCCTGGGTGATGACACAGGGAGAGGATGGGATTCAGGTGTCGCTGCAATCCTGACTCTCCACACTGTCCTGGCTCCAGACCCAGCTTTTCTTGGCCCCCAGACACCACACCCTCTCCTAGCCCACACCTGCCGATCTCCTGGTGGATGTCATAAAAGTCGCTGAGTCTCTTTCCTCGCTGCTCCTCACCTTCCCCGGCCCCTTCCACCTCCATAGCTGTCTGAGCTGAGGAAGAGATGCCTGGCGTTAGATGGGAAGGGCGAGAGAGGAATGAGGCAGAGACTGAGGCAGGCAGGGTAGATGGAGTAGGCAAAAGAGGAGCTAAAACATTGGGAGCCCAAAGTGGGGTGCCGGGGCTGGAAGACGTGGGAGCCACGGAGTGCAGGGCGGGATGAGTGACTCCTAGCCAGGGGCTCCATCGGATCCCTGGGGGTGAGCACTTTTCCTTTCTCCCCTGAGCCCTGGCCCACCTGAACGCACAGCCAGCTCTGCTTTGCAGAAGACCTCTCCAGCCAGGTTCCGGGCAGTGCAGGTGTAGACGCCTCCATCCTGGGCCCCCGTGCTGAGCACCACCAGGGAGCACTCGTTCTCCTCGTACACGAAGCTCACGTGGCTGCTCTCGGTCAGCAGCACCTCATCCTACAGAGTTGGCCGTCACCTCCGGCCTGGGCCTGGCTTCACCTCCACCTGGGACCCAGCTTTACCTCCATGCCAGAGACCCAGTCTCACCCCTATCCCAGAGGCCTTGCTTCCCCCCAGGGCCCAGAATCAGCTCTACCCTTTGTCTCCCACTAACAGCCTTGTACCCCCCAATTAGTCCCCTGGTTCCTCACACCCCTGCCAGTGTCACTCAGCACCCCTGGGTCCCACTTCCTTCTAACCTCATGTCTGGCAGCACCTCTGCTCTTCTCTGTCTCAGATCCCCTCCTCCTAAGATGCCTGGACCCCTCCCACACTCCCAGGAAATCCCTCCCCTTCCTCCCAGGCTCCCAGCCAGCCCCAGGCCAGGGCTCCCCTGAGGCCTTCGTCACCCTCTGACCTTGTACCACATGATGTCCGGCAGCGGTTTCCCCTCAACCACCACAGCAAAGCGAGCGGTCTCCCCAGCCCCCACCTCCACGTCCTCCATGATAGACTCAAAGCGAGGGGCCTCTGAAACACAGGGGTGGGGTGGGAGGGGGACAGAATGTTGGGGTCACACGGGCCTGTCTCCTCAGCTCTTCTCCAAGCCCTTCCTCAGCAACTGGCTCACCAGACCCGCCCTCCCACTCCCCAGAGCCCCAGCACCTCACCCACCGGGGCTCTCAAACTCGGCAGGCCTGTGGGAGCACCAGAGTCCCTGGCCTGGACCAAGCGCTCTCCCTGTGAATCCACAGGCGATGTCCTTCAAACCCCAGAAAGCCTAAGCCGGAGGGTGCAGACTTGCTTTGTTTGACTCTCAGTGTTCATCTGCCAGCTTTGAGGTTTTAGGAGATTTTCACACACAAAAGAAATCTAGATTTCCTGCCTCTCTTGAGAATCAGGGCTGGCCATCCTGAGCCTCTGCCCTCACCGCATGAATGGGCTGGCGTGGAGTGGCTCAACGCTGCCCCCTGTGGGCGACCGCCCTTCTGCACAGTCCCGCTGAGGGCTTCTTGGACTTCACTGTCCTGAGCCCTGAAGGCCATCAGCCTGTGACCCCGAATCAAGTTCACTATGGCATTGCCTCTGTCTTGAAGTTTACTCTCTGAATCTTATTTAAATGCTTAAGGGGCCTTCTGGCCATCTTGGAGATGGCAAGAAAAACAAACTGGTACCAAATCTCAGCTTAGTTCTCCCACGTGTGACTCTGATTTTATTCTCTACACATATCATGCGATCATGTTACTTCCTTAAAAAGTGGCCTCTAATTCTCATGATGGAATTAAATACATGTTCCAATGCGCTTCGCAGAGGAGCCTGTGACTTCCTGCGCCCCTTCCTGAGCATGGTTGAGGGTCTCCGCCTTTAGAAGAGTGGGAGTGATCAGGCCCTGAGGGCAGAGCAGGGGTGCTGGGCAGGGACACCACCATCACAGGCACGCTGCTTGCTTTCATACAGATAAAAGGGGAGGGCATTCTGGGAGTGGGGAAGATGCTACAGTGAGGCGGCTATGGAAGGAAGGGGCCACTGCCCTGCCTAGGGATGGGGGTGGGGCACAGTGGGACAGGGTGTAGATCCAAGCCCCAGGCCTGTTCTAGCCCTGGTTGGCTGGAACACAGTCCCCCTGTCCCTGTCCCAGCTGCCACGCTGCGGGCTCTGGGTGGCCAGGGCCTCTTCCTATATCTGGAAAGAAAGATGCGTCCTACAGATGGTACTGTCAAGGAGCAAAGCGGTGGTTGAATAGGAAGTGACAGGGGATGGAGTGGGGGGAAACTGAGCAAGGGGCAGACACATAAAAGGGAGACTTCGGGCCCAGATGATCTGTGGCCTCACCCTATCCACCATCCACAGGGGGGCCAGTAGGGCTTCCCCAGCTTCTCCTCATACCCTCCTGTCACTTCTCTCACTTTAAAGATGCTCTCCCTCCCCTCTAGGAATCTGGTTCCTAGTGTATGGGGGACATAGGTGGATGAGAGGATGGGCTCTATGAAGGTCAAAGGACTGGGCTATTTCAACTGAACTTGATAAATTTTTTAAAGGCACCAGAAAATGCACATTTACCCATGATAAGTATGCCTGGGCTAACTAAAATGTCACTTTATTTGCATTTGGTTGGAATTGTATCTACTCAGCAGGTAACATTGTTTAGCTGGCATTGGTCTGAAATTCTGAGTGGCAGTTACATATGTCTAGAGTTAATTAACAAACTGGGACACAAGGCAATTACTACTTAATGCATGCTGGGGGTTGAGAGACTACATCTTTGATGGAGAAATTACAAAAAGGTCCTCAATGCAAAGGTTGGGAGGCTCTCTCCAGCAGGCTGAGTGAAGGGCAGCCAGGATCCCCAGAGCTGAGAGCCTCATGATGAGATGTGCTCCCCTGGGCTTTTTTTCTTTTTTAAATCGACTTGGTCTCCCTGTGCTGGTTACACTAGAGGTATTATTTCCTGTTGTGTTTAACACAGGAGCTGGGAGCACCCTCTGCCTTTGGAGTTGGGTATCAGAGCTTGAATTCCAGCTCCTGTGCTTATAGGTTGGGCCTGTTACTTAGCATCCTCTCAGCCTCAGTTTCCCCATCTGTAAAATGAGGCTAATAACCACCCCCATCTCACAGGGTTGATGTATATATCAAATGAGTGATACATGTAAGATACTTAGCACTGAGCCTGACACATACTAAGTGCTTAATAAATATCTTATTAGTACTATTACTATTATTATTAGTTCTGGTGTTATTATGGCCATTAGATGGACATGGCCTGAGAGGGAAGACTCAAGATTGGCAAGTGGATGTGTGCACCTAGAGGTGGGAGGAGAGGGCTGTGGGCCTCAGAGGGATGAGAGGGAAGGGGTCTGCTACCACCTACCTGCCAGTTCCAGCGTGACCGAGCAGGCCTGTGTGCCGTGGCGGTTGCGGGCAGTGCAGGTGAGGGTCCCCATGTCCCGGCGGCTAACCCGGCAGATCCGAAGACAGTACTGGTCATCATCTGGCTGGCTCAACTCGTACACACCTGCCCGAGCCTCCAGGAGGGCCCCTCGGCAGCTAAGGTACACATGACAGAGAGGTCACTCAGGATCCAGCCACAGGGAGGTCAGTTGTGGGAATAGAACCACTTGTGGGAATAGAGCATGCAAGGTGGGGCCCCACCTCCTCCAGACGACCTGGGCCTCCACATGGTTGAAGGTGACGGTGACACTGGCAGGCTGTCCCTCCACCACATATACGATATCTGGCTTGTCCAGCACAGCGGGCGCCTCCTCCAGGGGCGGGCCTGGGAGGAGAGCACAGGCTGTATGCTGGGCTTGACACCAGATCCTCGGTACCTACTGCTCTTTTGACCCTCCCCATTGCCCTGTGAGCTCCAGTTTTACAGGTGAGGAAGCTGAGGCTCAGAGAGGTTTAGCAATTTGTCTAGGGAACACAGTCATGGAGCAGCGGACTGGGACTGCACTCCTAGCTTATCTGACTCCAGAGCCTTGGCCTCGCCCACTGAGTGCTGCTTTTGGGAGTGAGAAGGAAGCAATTTGACGGTCAAGGTCACACCCAGCCACACCGTTCCTGTCAAAGTTCTAATGTCCAGACCAGCCCTTGAGCTTCCACCATGGGGACCCATTTCCCAGCCCAGAAGAATCCACCCCACTCCATAAGAGCACCCAAGCTCACCTCGCTCCAGCAGCTGCACAGGCTCCGAGGGCGGTGACGGTTTGCTGCTGCTCTTGATGGTGGCACTGAGGACTCGGAAAATGTGCTGGACCCCCTTACGCAGCCCTATGGCTGACCACCCAGGATCCCGCAGGCCCGTGGCCAGCGCCGTCCACTGGTCCGAGCCCAGCACCTGGTGCTGCACTGTGTAGGTCAGAGCGTCTGGGTCTGATGGGGAGGCAGCTGTTAGAAGTGGGCATTGCTGGGACATCCCCCATCCTGCCCCCATGCAGTTCCTCAGGACCCAGGAACTCATGATTAGTCTGCTCTGAGGACCTGCCTCAATTTCTCTTGTTGCTTCTACCTGCTCCCATCTGCTCTTGCCCAACCACTGGCCTAGCCAAGCTCAGAGCCAGCAAAGTGCCAGGCATGGGGTCCAGTTACAGGCATGGAGGGAGCTTGACTTGTATCCCAATTCCTTGTTACTATCTAAGGTGGGGAAACTGAGGCATGGAGCAGGAAGAGGTCATGGACAGAGAAAAGAATATTCCCTGGAGCACGACCCAAGCACCTAACCCCTCTGAGAAAGAGAAAGGAATGTGGTGGCCCCCTCTCTCGCCTCTCCTGACCCAGAGCCAGGGCTTCATACACCATGGAGAGGAGGCAGTCAAGGCTGCTCCTGGCCATGGCCCCAGCACTCCGTCCACTCCCCACCCCGTATGCTTCCTTGGGTCTTGCCTTCCCCTCCTGGCTCCCTTGCCACCCTTGCCACCCTTGCCTGAGCCTACCCTGTCCATGCCCTGTCTCCACCACACAGCCCTGTGTGGCCCAACCCACCGATAGCCATGTCCAAACTCCTGGGTGGGTTCCATGTGAGTGTGATCATCCTCCCGGTCACAGCCACCACCTGCGGGGCACCATCTGGGGGGCCTGGAACCACATCTGAAAGCCACAGGTCAAGCATCCGCTGGGTCCCAATGGTTCCACAGGATCACCAAGCCTCAGGGTAGTGGGCTAGGGGCTGGGGGCACAGCCGCAGGGGCAGGGGCAAGGCCAGATGGCTCCTCAGGGGAATAAAGGAAGGGAGTGGGTGCAAAAGCCCCTCCTTCGCCCAGCCCTCTGGGTAGGCCAGAGGCTAGACTGTGCATGCAGCTAGCCTGGAAGGTGCCTGCCTCACCTGTGACATAGAGGTGGGCGTAGCAGGCAGCTTTGCCCAGCTTATTGGCGATGACGCTCTTGTAGACACCGGCATGCTGAGGTCCCACAGCAGGGAACACCAATCGATGGACATCCCTGTCTGGGGTGGGGGGGAGGAGGGACAGTGACACTGGGCCTGAGATAGAACGATACTTTGAGGGGTGTGTCCATGCCACCCCAAGCCTGGCCCTTCACCCCCATCCACTCAGGGAGGAGGCGACAGGGAAAGGAAAGACAGACAAGAAGTGTGTCTACCATGTGGCAAACCCTAGGTCCAGACTGCCGAGTCTACATTTGCAGCCCTGGCCCCTCTTGACTGTCCTTCCACCCTTCAGGCTCTGCAACTTCTCACCTTCCTCCCACACCACTCACCACTGTTGACTGCCCCTCTTTTTTGCACCTCTGGGGGTATGTGTCACATCTCTGTGTCAAAGTTCTGACAAGGCTTGGTTCCTAAGGCCCCTCCCATGGCCACTGGTGGCCCCATTGCCAGCAGAGACCCCTTGAAAGCCCACCGCTAGTGCAGTCCACACTCCACCAACAGCACCACATGTTGCCTCCCGACCTGGAAACCTTAAAGGCATCTACAACTTATGGACAGCAGCCAAAGCACTCAGACTAAACTCCCATCCTGCCACGTCTCCTGCTAGTCCTCCACTGTCTGACCCTGACAAGCCAGCCGGGCCCTGGACACGCCATAGGAGTTCTATCTTCAGGTCTTTGCTCAAAAATTCCTCCCTTCTGGAACATTCTTCTCTTACTAAGGCCTCCTTCTTTTTCAAGACACAGTTCAAGTGAGTGCCAGCCTGGGAAGCCTCCTGTGCCATGCCTGGTGGGGCCCACTCTGCATCCCCTCCCTGATTCCCCCAGGACCTCCAGCAGAATCTGCTGCCTTGCACACAGTAAGTGCCAAATATATGTATTACATTATACATTCCAATAAGAGTTGTCTGCTATGTCAACTGCTTGACATGCGTTCCCCCCCATAATCCTTTCAGCAACTCTGCAAAATTATCCTCATTTTTCCAATGAGGCCAGAGACATTAATGGACTTGTCCAAGGTCACATAGCTAATAAATGATGGAGCAACGGCTTGAACTTGATTACCTCTGGATTCGAAGCTCTTTCCTTACACCGTGCTCCCTGAATGATGATAAGGGAGCCATCGCCAGCGGGGTAGGAGGGGGAAGAGGCCTACACTGTCCTCCTTCACATAACAGCCGTCTCCAAACACCCTTCCCTTCTCTTAGTGGTTATCTCCCATGGAACAGTCACCCATTCATTTATCTCTACTGAGACTATTTATAAAGGAAGAGAAACCAAGGGCTGCCACTGACCCCAGATACAGACAGAAGAGATGCCAGCTCAGATCCTGAGACAGACACCCAGCCAGGGCCTCAAGCAGACAGAGAGCTAGGAAGCCTGTGGGCTGAGCAGACAGCTGCTGTGGCAGGGGGCTGAGGGGAAGCATCAGAGCCACAGTGATGGCACTGGAGATGGGGCATGGGCAAGAGGGGGCATCCTGGTTAGGAGGTGGGAGCCAGAGTCAGATGGCCCTTGCCTGCCTTTGAGCAAGCAAGGACCTCTGCAAGTCTCAGTTTGTCCCTCTGTAAGCCTCAGTTTCCCCATCTGTAAACAGGATTAATAGTACCTGCCTCACAGGCCCGTGGTAAGGAAGGTGAGATTGTCCATGCCAGGCCTTTAGCACTCAGAGCCAGGCACACATAAAGCATTCAATAAAAGTGAGTTTTGTCTCACTGCAGCTGCAAGAGGAGGCCACTGTGGTGCCCAGGGGGTTGCTGTCTGATGGGGGTAGGTAGGCCTTCCCACAGGAGACTTGAATTCCTTCAAGGGTAGAACTGAGAGGTTCCCATGAGAAATACCCAGGCTGGGAGGACACGGTCCCAAATACATCATTTCCCTCCAGTTCCTCCTTTACTTGCTACTCATTAACAACGTTGGCCAAGCATCCTTTCGGTGCCAGACACTACCCACATCGGCCTTCTCACTGAAATGTCTCTGCTTTGCTGACGAGAATGAAATGGTGGCAAAAACAATAGCAATAATCGTAAGATTTAACACGTACTGACCACTTGCTATTTTCCAGGCCTTGCTCTAAGTGTTTTATATGTATTCACAGATCTGATTCTCTAACAAGCCAATTACAGATAAGGAAACTGAGGCACAGGAGGTTCTATAACCTGTCCACGGTCAGTAGCAGGCTGTCTAGTAAGCTCTAATAGAGCTGCCAAGGTCCAGAGTAGTGACTAAGCAGAAGGGTGCTGTGTGGGCTCAAGGAAGGAGGTGACCTCATAGCCTTTCTGGGATACCCTCTACCAGATGCCCCATCCCTGACTAAGCTAGAAAAGGAAGGCCTGAGGGTGAGCAAGGGGAGGGCACTGCAAGCAAAGAGGGAGCTGGAGGGGCCACTCCCCAGGGTCCCTTCCTGGACACGTACACTGCATCATGCGCCGGTCATCACTGCTCTGGATACGGTGACCGTTGTGGAACCAGCTGATTGTGGGGTAGGGCAGACCAGTCACCTGGCACTCCAGCATGGCCTCCTTGGCCAGTCCCACCTCCAGGTCCTGCAGGGGCCGCAGGAAGTCGGGCATGGACAGCCGCTCTAGTTCACCATGCTCCGGCTCCTCCGGGATGGATGGCATCTTCTCCAGCTTCGAGCTGTAAAAACCACACAGCTGCCCAGAGTCGCAGAGCTTTGCCTCCTACCACAGGCAGGGCTTGGGCCCCACAGTGACAGGCCCACCAGCACCAGGGTCCCAGGCAGTACCTGGGGCCAGTGGCAGCCGTCCGAGGCTCCTCTACGTAGAGCTGGGCCGAGCAATGGGCCTGGCCATGGGTGTTGGTGGCACTGACCGCGTAGAGCCCCTCATCCTCGCTGCCCACGTGGGCAATGTGCAGCGAGTGCAGACCCCCATCCTGCCGCAGATGCAAGTTCTCACTCTCCTCCACAGCGCGGCCTGGGGGAAGGGAGAGGGAATGCACAGCAGACTCAGAGAGGGGTCCTGTTTTCTGGTCCTGGGGGGTCCCCCAACATCTGCAGTGTAGAGAACCATACCAAAATGAGTCCAGGTCACAGAGGGAGGTGGGGTGCCACTGATCTTGCAGTCAAAGCGGGCCGTGCGGCCTTCCAGCACCTCCACGTCCTCCAGCAGCCGTGTGAACAGGGGTGTCAGTGAGGGCCGCACAGTCAGCCGGGCGCTGCAGGTCAGCTCATCTGCGGGAGGGGTCAGCACTGGGGCATGAAAGGCCATGGAAGTCCAGGCACCCCCACCCAACCCACAGGTCCTACCCTCATGCTGGGCAGGAAAGGGGGGCTGGGCCAGGAGCTGTAGTCTGGCAGAGCCCAGAAAGGTCCCTGGGCACCAGAGTGAGGCAGTGGACAAGATCCAAAGACCGGGCCCTCTCAGGAGGGTGGAGGTTGGCAAGGGTGGCAGCAGGCTGCCATGGTGACTGGGGATATGATGGGTATCCAGGGCCCCAGACCGGCTCTCCCATCCTCAGTTCATCTTGCCCACCCAGGATGATGCTCAGCTCAGCAATAAAAGAGGGGCCTAGAAGCCAAGCCCCTTTCCTCCCCTACACCCCTCTTCCCTCTCCTTGGAATTCTCCTCTGTGCCTGCGTGGTGCCCATACTTCCTCTTACCCTTGCCAGATAGAGCCCATGCCCCTTCGCCCTACTCCACTGCCCCACAGGCAACCTTCTGAGGGAAGTAACAGCACCTAATGCTGACCTAGTCCTTTCCTGTCTACCAAGTCCCTCCAGTGTCACCTTAGGTGCTCATTACCATGACCTGGTGAGGCATTGTCTCCACTCTTCAAACAAGGACAGGGACCAGGTCAGAGATGTCATTAATAATAATAACGGCCGACATTTATTAGGTGGCACCCTTCGCCAGTCTCTGTGCTTTGTTCTTTACATTCATTATCTCATTAATCCTACCGATTCCCGAGCTAGGCATTATCATGATCCCTTTTTTTACAGATGAATAGTCTAAGCTCAGAGAGATGAAGGGACTTGTCCAAAGTCACGTGGCTGGTCTGTGACAGGACAAGAACTGGAACTCACATCCGGGTTGTCTGCCACATCTCAGCAGACGGGCTCCCAACAGAAGCAACCACTAACACTGACACAGAGGTCCTTCATGCCAGGTGCTGCTCCAAGTGCTGAGTTTACTGAGGCAGGTGCATTGCACCATCTCCCACCCAACGCTATTCACCCAGGAGATGGGACCCATCTTATTCTGCACCCACCTCCTTCACCTCCAGTCCCCTCCCTCCAGCTCTTGGGTGCCCAAGGCAGCCCCAGGGCCCAAGTGGGCAGTTACCTTTGGCCGTGCTGAGCTTGCAGGTGTAGACTCCACTGTCGTCCTCATGCACAGAGGTGAGCAGCAGCTTGCACTTCCGGCCATCAAAATGCATCTTGCATTTGAGTAGCGCAGGCTGCAGCAGGCGGCCTCGGCACAGCCAGTCCACCTCCACGTCAGCAGGGCCCGCCACCAGGCACTCAAACAGCGCCATTTCCCCGGCCCCCACGTCCACGTCCTGCAGGGGGGCCAGCACGGCCAGGGACCGGCTCTCAGGGTGTGCTGGGGGGAAGCGGCCATGGGGGGCACACATGGAGCAGAGACACACGAGGCGAGGGAGACACACACACGCACACAGAGAGAGACAGACAGACACAGAGAGAGAGATGCATTTTGTTCCTTTGGAGACAGAGGGAAAGCCCACCCGCTGGCTGGCCAGGACAGCAAGGAGGTCTCAGGCCTGGCTTCAGGATGGCAACCCCAGCTGGGCCAGGGAGGGGGAACTCAGGGGAAGCAGAAGGAATCAAGGACGGAGAAACTGAGGGTCGTGTAGGGGCAGAGACGGCGGCGGAAAAAAAACCACACAGCACACCAGCTGGGTACAAACTGGACTTTATTTGAACTAAGAAACAGGTATTTCTGAATCTCTCCAATCCCTCTACAGTAGGTCCCTGCTCCTGTGTCAGGTCTGGCTAACTCCCTTATTCCCAGACAGAGCCTCCCAGGCTCTGACAGTAAAAGGGAGAGCCCCAAATGGGCCCTAAAACTGCCCACAGCCAGGACTCAGCCAGGCCTCCTCATCAGCACAGGGCCCGGGGCCTCTGGCTTTTGGTCTCTTGTGAAATAGTGTGTTGTGCCATTTGAAACCCATTTCTGGAATGGTCAGTGCTCTGCCCCCTTTTCATGAGCCCCTTGTCAACAGCACTCTACCTCTCTGGGCCCCTCCATCCTGCAGATGCTATGCCCTGTCTCTCCCCTTCAGCTTTACTTCATGCCAGCTCCAAGGTATCCTTCCCTGACTGTCACAGACACACAGACAGACAAACGGATAGACAGACAGGGCCTATAGCAGCAGTAGCACATGCGCTTGCTGGGTGCTCCCCTGCGGGGAGAGACTGGGAGGGGGTCTTGATACCCCTCATGGCCACCCTTTCCTGGCACTCAGTCCATGTGGAGGCGCCTGGCCTGCCCAGCCATATGTCCACTTGGGGAGGGAGGGGTCCACAGGGGCCCATGGCTATCCCAGGATGCTGCAAGGGGAAGGGAGGGGCGGGGAGGCTGGAACAGGGTCCAGGCCGGCAGGGTCTGTGGGCAGGAGGCAGTGAAACACAGCGAGGTCCGAGAGGTGCCTGAGACAGGGGCGCGGCTCGGAGGGTATCGGGGGGAGCGCAGGCGGCCCCCTGAGCTCACTCGCCTGTGTACAGACAAAAACCTCAGTCAGCAAGCGGCAGGTTAGTGCAGTACACGCTCACGCACACGCACACACAGGCGCGCACGCAGCCTGGCTAGGCCCCCAGCATGGACAGCTGCCTCTCACATGGCCAGGGCACTGCCACGTTCAGCTCCCCCAAGAGCAGGCCTGGGTGGGGGGCAGGCAGCCAACCAGAGGCCGGGTCTCTGAGTTTCCTGGGCAGGTAGAGGCCCTGGGCACCCAGGGGAAAGGCATTCACAGGTATCAGGAGCACCCCAAAACCTGAGGGATGTTGAGATGAATCCCATAGAGAGAAAAGCACCAAGATGTGGGTTAATATGAGAAGCAGGGCAGAGCCAGGCCCTGAAGGGTAATGAGGACCAGACTGTGGGGATGGGGGTAGGGAGTAGATATAGGAGAATTCAGGGACTGAGAAGGAGGCCACCCCAGGAACAGGAGGCACAGAGCCCAGTAACTGAGGCAGGCAGGGCTCAGCAGAGGCAACCATGGCTGTTAGGGTCCAGGCTCCAGCAGCAGTCTGGGGGGATCCTGGATGCTCTTAGAGCTGGCCTCTGCCAGGAAGGGAGTGACAATGGCTGAGTGTGGAGCTGAGGGGTTCCCAGCCCTGAACTGCCCACAGGGAAAGGGGAGGGGAATTGTGGGGCAAATGGCCAGTCCTGGGGAAGAAAAGCACCAGCCCCGAGGGCAGCCTGGCTAGGGCCCACCATCCCCAATGCCTGTAAGGTCCCCTGCTCTTATGCCCGATTCTGGGACCCAGCCCTCTCCACATTTCTGCTCTGCTCACCCTGGCACCCCTGAGGTCCCTGTGATGCTCCATGCCGAAGTCACCCCAAGGGTCCCTCCGAACGGGTCCAACTATCAGACATTCCCCACTGCCACCCCCAACCACAGTAGATTCTACACAGCGATGAGATGGGTAATAAGAGAGAGGAGTGGGTGTGAGGGAGGGGCCTGAGAAGGGCAAAGTGACAAAGGCTTAGAATAGTGTAGGGAGAGGATGGTCAGTGGCAGGAAGCAAGGTCTCTGGCTGACATCAGGGGCAGGCATGACTGAGCATGGGGGAGGCAGTACTGCATAGTACTGAGCACTGAGCAACTTGCTGTGTGGCCTGGGCAAGTCACTTGCCCTCAGTTTACGCAACTGCAATATGAGCAGCTAAACTTGGGGCTCACTTGAGGCCCTTTCAGTTCTGGCATCCCATCACTGAGGTTGTGTGAAAGTTGGCAACAAGGTGAGGACCAGGTTGAGGGGTTCATGGAGAGTGTGATATACTCACCTCGGACTTCGAGGCGGGCCTCACACTGCCGAGCGCCATACTCGTTAACTGCTTTGCAAGTGTAGAAGCCAGCATCACCCCGCTCAGCCGCCAGGATCCTCAGCCGGCACAGCCCACCCTCTGCCTCCTCTGCAAAGCGCCGCTGGTCTGGGCGCACAGGCTGGCGGTTTCTCAGCCTGTCGGAGGGGCAAGAATTCAGTCCCAGGGCCCAGGGTCCTCACCTGCACATGTAGGGAAGTGAGGATACAGAGCCAAGCAGGCCTCTCTTCCCTGCACATCATTTGTCCCCTCCCCATATCTGTCCCACTGAACACTGGCACCCCTCTGTTACAGGTTAGGTTTTTGCCCTGACTCTGCCATCCCACCTCCACCAGAAACTTCCAGGTCATCTCTGCCCACCTGGTTCGCTCCTTCCTAGGGACCTAACTGCACTTAGAGTGGTGCCATGCTATTCAGCTCTTAATAGCTCTTAAATTTCCTCATGTCTTATTTTTATTTATTTATAATGAACACATAGCTTTTCCACTTCCCAAAAGGGACATGAAATAACTTATAATGTTAAGAAATCACATTGGGAATGAGACAATCAATTAAAAATGAAAAATAGAACCCAAAACAATAAAAAAACCCTAAGTGAACTAATCAAAGTGCCAAGCACCTGGGGTGCAACACCGCAGAAGAGCCCCGAATCGAACTCTGGGCTCTGGAAGCTCAGAAACAGATGGTCCCACCTGGGCCTAGCACAGGGCTGGGTGCAGAAAAGACCTCAAAAGTCACTCTGTTGTCAGCGGACTGGGGCGGGGGTGGGCAGCCTTCTCCAGGGGTGAGATGGCTCCAGGATGTTCATCACAAGTGAACAGACAGGAGATCATTTGTTACCCAAACCCCTCGCCCAGAAGGAAGCCACGAATGAGCCCTGAAGCCCGGCAGAGGCAGGGGCAGGAGCAGGCTGGGGGGAGTGGCGCCACTGTACATGGGATGTGGCCCTCTGCAGATCATGGGGAAGTCCACAAAGGGCCCAGTCCCTCTACCCAGAGCCAGGTCTCACAAGGCCAAGCCTGGAGTGGGGGGAGTAGGCAGGTGGCCATTAGCGGCTACTACTCACCAGGAGACCACGGGCTTGGGCTCCCCCTGCACACGGATGCTCATGGTAACATCTTGGCCTTCTCTTACTGACTGGTCCATAAGGGAGACCTGAAGGGAACCCCAAAGTGTCAGGGCCCAGCTTCAGTTCCTGGGGGATGTGAGATCTGGGACAGAGGCTTCTTCCACCCCAGTCTAACTGAGGCTGGCTCTGGGTTAATGGGGTCAAGCTCCAGGTGGTACTGGAGCCTGGTGTGGCCCCAAGAACAAGAGGCGACACGAGGGAATGGAAGTACTCAGGGGGCTGAGACTGCTCAGGGGTCTGACCTTGAAGGTGGGGGGTGCCTTGGAGCCAGTGTCTGAGGAGCGGCGGTTCTGGCTGGGACTGAGCTTCATGGTGGGGGGTTGGGGCCAGGTCTCCCCAGGCTCTGGGAACTCCTCTGGGGGGCTCAGGTACTCCTCGTCAGAGGTGATGGGGCTGCTGAAAGGGGATGTGGACCCACCTGGAGGAGAGATGGAGGAGAGACAGTGGCACACAGAGATGCCAGAAGAGGAAGGGGGGTAGAGAGACTGAGAGTTGGGTGGATGAGCCAGGGATCAAAGACCTGATAAGGTCTGGAATGGCAGAGCCTGGGAGGTGAGAGGTTTCCTACAGGCTGGCCCAGTTCTGACTTCACTTCCCGGGGCTCGTCTGCTATGTGACCTTGCCAGGTATTTCCTGTCCCCGAGTCCCTGAACCCTGCTCTGCTACAGACCTTCCCAACACTGACCCTGCTGATCCTCCTGAGTGGAGGGAACCATAGGTAATGGCCTGGGGCCAAGGATTCAGGCAGTAGAGAGGCTGCTCCTAGGCCTTGTGGGAGATGTGGGCCTCCACTGGAGCCGAGAACCCACATTCCTGGCACAGACAGCAGGTTCCTAATGCAGGTGGTTCATGTTTCTGGACCCCAGAGTAGCACAACCAGGACACCCATTTCTTGGGTGAGCTGGGCCTGGTGCAGAGGAACACACACCTCAGACAAGCCCCATCCTGACCTCAGTGCCAGGGCCAATGAGGCGGCACTGTCCAGCCTGCCCTTCCCCCTCTCCCTTCTCAGCTTCCTGCCCCAGATACCCCAGAGGCACCTGTTGGCCCCAGCCTTAAAGCATGGACCCCAAAACTCTCAGGGGATGGGAAAGCAGAGTCTGAGTCATCCACAGAGAAAGGTAGCTCAGCCTGGGGAAGAGGAGGGGGCACCAGTGTGTCTTTGGGGGAGGGGTGTCCCCAGGGCCCTGACGCCCTCCCCTGCAACTGGCCAGTGGCCCAGTCTCACTGAGCTGGCTCCTAGCCGACTGCCAAATACAGACATGAATCTTCCACAGCCCCCTGGCCCCTCCTCCCGGTTCCCCCACCCCAAGCCCCTGTGGCCCAGCCCCCCACAGGGCTGCACCCCAACTCACCTCGAGATTCTGCACACGGACCCCAGCCTGCGCTTGTCCAGAAGGCTCTGCCCTGGCACCAGGCCCTTCTGCTGCCTGCCCACTACCCACCCCGCCAGGCTCCCCAGAGAGCAAGAGCCCAGCCTGCCCAGCCCCACTCACTCGCTGACCCTGCTGAGGCTCTGCACGAGGTCCTGGGGGAGGGGAAGGAGGAGGTGGGGGCTGGCTTGGTGGGGACAGGCTGGGTGGCAGGCAGGCAGCTGGCTGGGGAGGTGGTGCCTGCTGAGACCACAAGCAGCCTGGGCCTGGAGTGGAGGGGGAGGAGAGGGGAGGGGCAGAGTACAGCACGGCTGTATTTAGCCACCCTGCTCATTCCCAAGCAGCAGGATCTGCCTTTTCTCTCCTTACAGCTTCTGGACCCTGACAAACACAAAGCCCCCTCAGTGGTGCCTCGATTCAAAGTGCCAGGGCCTTGGTCCCCAGGGGAAGATGGGGGTGGCACTGCACTGCAGCATCCAAGACGCTTGCCCTGACCCATTCGATTAGACGGGTCCAACAGAGGAGGTACTGGAGACAGATAGCCCCTATGATGACCCTTGCTCTGACCAAACCACCAAGATCCCCAACAAGCCCCACCGTTTTCTCTGGTGCTGAGAATCAGAGAACTGTCAGGACCCTCAGCCTCCTTCCCAGAGAAGCACCCTCTACCTGAGTGGGCCCAGAATCCCATCTCTGTCTCCCCATCCTGCCATGGCAGGTTTGGGCCTGTGCCCAACACTCTTCTTACAGACGTTCCTGGCTGGCAACTGTCCCTCACCCCATCAGCTCCACCAGGGCCAACAGGCAGGAGGCAGGGGCTGCTTCCTCAAATAGTCCCTCACAACCAGCACCCCTCTGCATCTGGGGTGGGAAAGGGGCTTGGAGAGAGAGCAGTAGAGTAGGGGAGCCGTTGAGAGGTCACATGTCCTTCTCCCTCCTCCTATCACCCCTGCCCAGGGCCACATTCCCAAGCTATGACCTGTGTTTCCCATCATTGCCAGTGAAGAAGGGGGGAACTGGCAGAGGAGGGGGGCTCACCATTCAGACTGGCTGTCTTGAAGTGGGGGTGGGGAAGGAAGTCAGAATGGCCACTTGGTGAGCATCTGCTTAGGGCTTGCCGTTAGCTGATGCTGATATCACAGGCAGGGGCCCCTCCCCTCTGTGGATCCTGGTGACCTCTTGAGTCACCTCCAGGTTGGGCAGAGCTGAGGCCTCGCATGCCCCAGGGAGGGAGGGAGAGGAGAGATTAAAGCAGATGGGTAAAGTTTGCAGGGAGCCTCAGAGACCCCTGGTGGTGGCTAGGGGAACAGCACCCTGGGGGCATCCAGTGACCCAGCTAACCAGAGTCCTTCAAGCTCCTCAAGAGGGGGGGCTGTCAGAGAAGCCTAGGCAGGAGGCTCAGGCTACAGAGAGGGTAGAACTGGGCCTCTATGAAACAAGGCCATGGCCCCTACCCTTCTATACTCCCAAAACTGTGTGGCCAAGGAGGCTGATCAGGGATCTCTGTCTCCAGGTCCCAGAGCCTCTAGGGTTCCACACGAAGCCCTGGTACCACCCCACTTTTCATTGGTCCCACACTAAAACCATCTTTGTAACCAGTCCCCACACCCAGCCCTGCTCCACCCACAAGACCAGCTCTCACTGTCTGAAACATAGTTACACCAGCCAGGGAGTGGGGAGCAGGTACACCCCCAAACCTAGACGCACACATGCCCACCATGTACGCGCTGCCCCTGCCCCTCCCACCACTGCACAACATGCTGACTCTGCACATGTCTGGCCTTTCAACACTGCTCCCAGGTAAGACTCACTTGATCGAAGTACTGGCCTTGGGGAGCCCACAAGTTGGGGAGCCCTCCCTCCCCAGACCAGTGCATCCCGCTCAATACTGATCCCAACATCCCCTGAGGTGTTCTCACAATAGAAACAGTCACAGCCAGCTACAGGAAAGGCATCACTTAAGGCCCTCCACATCAGGGCTTCTAGGATGGTCCTTGAACCACCCACATCAGGACCACCCAGGAGCCTGTTTAAACTATAAATTCCTGGGCCTCACTCTGACCTGAAAAATTAGATTTCTTGGAATAGAGGTCAAGAAACTGCATTTTCAAAAGCACCTAGTTGATTCTTAAGCACATGGAAGTTTAGGGACCCACATGACCCAGTGTAAGGAGGACGATAACCCTAAGAGGTGGTATCACTCAGTCCCATCTCACTCAGCCACCAAACTTTAGGGCAGGGCTCTGAACCTCAGAGGTCTAGCTCCACAGTCCATGTGTTCCCACTATGCCACCTGGCCTCCCACCTGCGCAAGGTCCCTAACTCTAGGGCAGTGGTTCTCAAGTTCACCATTCACCAGAATCACCCGGAAAGCTCCTTAAGATATAGATTGCTGGGACCCACCCTGAGTCTCTGATTCACTAGGTCAGGGCTGGGGCGAGCAATGTGCATCTATAACACATTCTCAAGGTGATGCTGGTGCCCCTGGTCTGAGGACAACACTTTGAGGACCACTGCTCTACAGTCTCTGTCTCCCACCTTCCACTCTTAGGCAAATCCTCACTACCCTTTGCAGACGTGTGTCTCCCCCCAGCCTCTACGTGTTACCCAGATTCTTCCAGGGGCTTGGAAAGTCTTGGGTATCTCTGCCCCCTACTGTCAGCTCACACACAGCCCTTGACTGTCCAGGAGGCCCTCCAGGTATGGCTCCAAGGGCTAAGATAGCCAAAGCACAGCCATAACCTCAGAAGCCTTCTGGCTGATATGGATGATAAGCCAGATACACACACGACTATAAGAGGAAACAGGGATAAGGTGGCAAGAGGGAGGCAGATAAGGCCACAGGAATGAAGACAATAGGACATTACTCTTGGCTCACGGAAGAAGGGGACTGAGGGAAGGAGTGGTATTAGAAATAAGGGTTTAGTTTAAGCAGAAAAAAAGCAATCCTGGGAGAGGAAATCACAGGAGCAAATGTTCAGAGGCAGAAAGCGTGTGCAGAGAACTGTAGCTCAACCCCTCTGGCTACAGAACTAGGTGAAGAAGAAAGAAATGGGATGTGACAATGTTGGAGCAGGTCCCTCCCTCTGCCTCAGCTGCCTCCAGCCACCCTCAGAAGGTAGAGGCCAGTTTCCGGAGTGTGGCCTTTACCCTGAGGGCTCAGGGAACTCCCTGAGTCTGCGGAAGGGAGCAGTGTGCTGGAGGGTCGCAGCCTTGTATGTGGCCTGGCTGCTCACAGCGGCTGTCCACCCGCACTGTCTCTGTGGGTTCCTCCAGAGGTGACTTGCGTAAATGCCCACTGTGGTAATCCCACCATGGAAGTGAGGGAAAGGGGAAGAGTTGTGCTGAGAATGTTTCAGTTTGGTTTAAAAATGAACAAGGAAGCAGAGAGCATTTCACATGGTCAGCCTGACCTAGGCATGGAGGTGGTTAATGTCTTCCCTATGATTATTTAGGATTGCTCCATGTTAGATAAGCACTGGCACCCACAGTAAATTAGGTCCCCATTCTTCTGATAGGCTGTGCATGATGACCCCCATTCTGAGGTAGCAGCCCTGGGGGACACCTGTTGGGGCAGACCTGCTTCTGGTAGACAGAGTGGGGAGGAAGGGCTGAGTCCAGTCAAGGACTGAACTTGCTTTTTTAGGTGCTGTCCAAATCCCAAGGATGGACAACAGGGCCATGTGGCATTCCAAGATCCCCTCCACAGGCAGCCACTGACTTCACAAGTGAGAACCTGCCAGGGCCGGGCCAGGGCCAGAGCCAGAGTCAGGAGGAGAAGGGGGCTATGATTCCCTTCTTTCCCTTTATATTCCTGACCTCCCCAAACCACCTCTTTTCTGTTGTGATAGTGTCATCAAACAGATGGGACCCAAATGAGTTTTGATAAGCCATATCCTCTGGCCCAAAGGTCCTTAGCTAAACCTTCAACCCTGCAGAGCCTCACAAGTCTTACCGAGAAAGCAGCCCAAGAGTTATGATCCTTGCTGTACAGATGAGGACATGGTGGCTAGTTAGTGAGGAGGCCAAGGCCTCCACTGGAAAATGCTAGAACCTTGGGATCAAATTGAGACCTATGCTTGAGGGGAGGACTGCAAGCAACAGGATGAAGGCCTGGGCACATGGAGTCACCCATGTCCCCCTTCCTCCTGACCAGAGCCCTTGGTGAGGTGAGCCGATTGTGTGCATACCAGGCATGTAGGGAAACAAAGCAGAACCACAGCCATGGTAGAAAGGGAAAGTGAGGAGAGGAAGGAGAGAAAAACCCAAGGCCATCAGACAGTATACGGTGCAGTGGTTAGGAGTATAGGCTTGGGAGATCCATGGGAGGGCTTCAAATCACACCCAGTTTCCCACTGACGCTATGCTCCTACAGCTGAGCAAATAGGGTAACTGCTAGCCACTGAGACCATTTAAATGTACATTTATGAAAATGAAATGAAAAATTAACTCTTCGGTCGTACAAGTCACATTTCAAGTGCTCAGTAGCCACATGTGGCTAGTGGCTACCATATCAGACTGAGCACATATATAATATTTTTATCATCACAGAAAGTTCTATTGGTCAGTGCTACTCTAGAGCAATTTGCTAAAGCTTTCCAAGTCTCAGTTTCCTCATCTGTAACATAGGCATAATAAATAGAACCTACCTCACAGGGTGGATTCAATATAAGAACCCAATCAGTACAGGGTCTGGTACATACAAAGGGCTCGGGAGATGCTAACTAGTCACATTATGTTCATCTGCCATCACACTGAGTTTACTTGCTTCATAGGTGAGTATTTCAATCGCCTGCTGCTTATAGCATCCCTAAGCAGATTACGGATGCTAAGTAGAGGCCCTGGCCTTGTGCTATCTCAGTGTCGCTTCACTCTCCACGGTTTCATCTTCCCACTTGTAAACTGGGAATGTCATCACATGTTATGTCCCTCCAAGAGATGTACAGTTGGTCCTGAACAACATGGGTTTGAACTGCAATAGTCCCTTATACAAGGATTTTTTTCCAATTGGTCCGAGCAGTTCAAACCCATGTTGTTCAAGGGTTAGCTGGCGGTTGGGAATGTGCCCACATGGAGGGCCAACTAAGTTACATGCGGATTTTCTACTGTAACGGCAGCAGGTGCCCCTAACCCCCGCACTGTTCAAGGGTCAACTGTACATGGTGTGATGTAGCTCAAGTAAGGGTAGAGATGTGAAAGGGTTTGGAAAAAAGCATATGCCATTCTCCAAACACATGAAACTGTTTAGAGAGATGTAGCACTTGGCGTCCAGTCGGGACTCAATAAATGCCTGTGTGATGGATGCAGGCAGCTGTGAAGTGCTTAGCTTCAGTTAAGCTCATTCCACGAACTCTCCAACCCCCTGCTCCAATACACACACACCTTTCAGGAGCTCAACTATGGTCTCAGCAGTTATTCAGGGGGGTGGGGCAGGGTGGGAGGGATCCAGGGCTGGG